ATGTGTGTGTGTGTGTGTGTGTGTGTGCGTGTGTATGTGCCTGTTTAATCACCAGAGAGCCCAAAAAACCTCACCAACATCTTGTTAAAATTTGTATTCTTTTTCTTTTGTCATAAGTAATTTCTTAAATCTGTGTTACACTCTAGAGTACTAAAAACAATAGGCATTTTGGACTCAGTCAGATTGTCTAAGATACCATGATAACGTCTTGCCTTTCTCCTGCTGTCTAGTTGCTAATACAGGAGAGCCCTATGAAGAATATACAATAGCACATTACTTCGGTAGAATGACAGCCTAATTTACGACTGATCCATTACAGAACAAAACAAAGATCAACAAGAAACGATTTTTTAAAGCAAAAACATTATTAAAAAAATTATTTTTTTTAAAGCAGACGGAACTGTGAGGTTCGACTCCAGAGCCTATTGGCCGCAGGGTAAGAGTTTTGGCTACTCTACCGTTCAAGGTGAATTCCTTGAAAGTTCAAGTTTACTATGAAAGTGAGTTTTCAGTTTTGGTAATGTAACAATGAAGCATATCGACAAAGTAATGGTCTCTCAGTTTAGAAACAGAGCAAGAAAAAACAAACAGACTGACTGAAACAACAGTGGGAAGGCATAGTATAACGTTTTTAAACAGTTTTATCATACCGCCTATTTCTGTATCTATGGGCCTATCATGCTATCTTCAAAGGTTTCTTTCGAAAACAGACAGAAATTACCTGAACTCTAAAAAGTCCAAAGGCGTCATGGTCTCCAAAATGTCAATTTGGTCTACCATGAGCTGTGGAATCGAAAGGAAAAAAAGAAATCAAAGACTTTTGTAAAACAGTAATTAAAATCTTCAATCTAAGAGATAGCTCGGTTTGTTTACAGCCTCGTAGGCACACACGGGAATCTCTTACAGGTCATTATGAACCAGCCGTACACTGGAGATAAAATCATGCATAATATTTTAATAGAATACCACCTTATAATTCCTGTCAAAATCCGGTTTGTTGTTGTTGTTTTTTTGTATGAGTTTTACGGATTTCACAACACAATTAAGTCATATAATCACCGAAAATTAGTGTTTCAAGATAAACAAATTAATAGAGGAGGAGAGATAAAGACGATAGGCTATGTTTGACAGGAAAGAAAGACCAAACCACACCAGGATACCTGTCAATTACAAACTTATGAAAAGATGGATTGAGAAAGTCAAGTGAACCATGAGAAACAACATCTCAATTGAAATAGCTCAGGCAGAGTTGACCTACCAAAGGAAACTGCATCTCCCTCGAAGATCATCAGTAACATAGGAGTGCCGAGAGTAACATTAAAAGCAATAACTATGATGGCCCATTAGGCTACGGTCTCAATGTGCCATCTTTAAGTTAAAGATTTGAATTTCTTAAATGAATACATCGAGGCTTGAAAAGCGTTTCACTTCTACGGGAACAATATCAACAATGTCAAAACCAGCGACAAAAAGTTTAAATTTAATTTCAGTAAAGAGACGCAAAATCGACACGACAAACGATAAGGGTAAAATTATAGTGCTATGAAAAATCAAGAGTAATAGACAGAAACAATCAAGGGAGAACAAAAGGAAAACAATCTATCAGGGAAACAGATGTATACACACACACACATGCACGCGCACGCACACACACACACACACACACATGCACGCGCACACACACACACACACACATGCACGCGCACAC